TACGTGCTCAATATTCATTGGAAATCTAACGAAGAAATGAGACGCCATAATTTAAATTGGTGGAGGATATTGAAGTGGAAGGGAAATGCTCTGGGGAAGGAGAAATGTCTCACTAAATTTATTTAAAAAATTTATAAGAAGTAGGCACTTGAAGACCAGGTTGTTGATGGAAGAATCATGTGAGGTTATGGGCTCGCATTAAATGCTTCATTGATGATTTAATTGTGGTGATGGTGCTAAGGTTTTAGCCTTTTACTGAGAGTGAATTTTTTTTATTATTGTAGTGAGAAAGAGTGAAGATTTTAATGTGTGATTTATGCACACACATTTTGTAGTTGCTGTTTTGAACACTTTATTGGCCTTTATTTTTATTTACAGCAGATGACTATCGTTGTAAAGATAAGAGCATTGGAAGTGTACATAAACAATTATTTTCTGTCTCTATTCTTACGATAAAAGAGTTGTAGGTCTAAATTAGGTTATACATATACTAATCGCCCTGACGATGAAGGCAATAAGAACCTGAGAAATGTCGGAAAACTTCTACCAGATTAGAAGGCACAACATAGTCACCGCCTTAAGAACCTGAAATCTCACCAATTTAGAAACTCTTGCCTCATGTAGCCAAGTCCTTCCTGAGATGCTAACAGTCGCTCAGGCACTCAAGAAATTCCCAACATGTTATGGAACCCGAAGGTGCATTAGAAGCGTGGAAAATGGGGTTACCTGCTCGGTGGCATTTATAACCTCGTCACTAGAGGGAGGTGAGTGGTCAGCTTCACGCTCCGACCATTTTACTCCTGAGGTAAGAATTCATGGTACCCAGTGGTTAGGAGGATGGCTCCTCAGAGACAGTCCGAACGTCGACATCTTTTGTACAATGAGGTGATTTTATGAGAAAAAATTACCATTTCCGTTTCGTAATCATGTAAAGTAGTTGTTGCTCGGACCAACACTGAACAAAATTATAATCGTCTGACATAACGTCATATTTAACCGAAAAAAGTCCAGTGGACATAATAAAATTTGAGCAAATTTAGACTATTTTGCCATTATGCGTGTATATACACGTTAAGATGTGATGATTTTTTTTTTGGACGGAACTATTTTAATCTCTCTTGCTGTATGGACGTAACCAACTGTGAAAAATTTGTGGTATTATTCACAGTGAATTAACAAACGTGAAATTCGCGTAAATCTGATCAGCCATGATATCTGACGACCAATGAACTGACAACAATTCCAGGTTTGTGTTCTGTACGGTTGGTATCCGTGATAAAATGACTGTTTCAGCTGTCAAATTTTGATCTACAGGCGAAAATAAAATAAAAATATCAGTGTATTATTTTATGCTTCACGGGCTGTCATGAAATCTGTCACCTGTGTTAACTGCCCCTGAGCCTGTTAGTGAAATATATCAAAATAATTGGCAGAAATGACGACACGACACGAATACGCCATGAAAGGACAATAACGAGAATCTTTTGTCAGTAAAAATGTACAACTTCTATGTTGTTAACGGTGTTGAGAGAATATGCCGAACGTTCTTGTTAACCGTGCTAACTCCATTTTATGTTTTCGGTTCTTCGTGTTACAGTATCACTAAATCACGAAAGAAAGACAGAAGACTTTATTTTATATATATATATATATATATATAAGCGTTTTATGCGGATTGTTTGAATAAATGCAGAAGGAAACTATTGTTGTATCTTTTAAGTACTATCTTAGTAGTACGTGCAGGTACTGAGGAAAATCACTAAAATCTTAGCGAGAATTGTCAGTATTAAGATTCGATCTCGCGCAGAAGACGGTCTTTGCAGTTGATACACGGCGTCATCCGCTCTCGTTCGTCTGTGGTTGTTGAAGATTAAACGCGTTTGTGGATTTCTCTGGCGTGGCGCTATCAACTCTGTTCGTATGTTACATCAAAGAACGTAAACAGTTTTGTTAATTTAAGGTAAACAGACTTGTCACGGTATTTATTTTTTATTAATTTATACATGAGTCAGTTGTTTATTGTGCGATATATCATACTGTAGATCGGACTGTGTAAATGAAAGATACATCAAGTCTCTTTATGTAACTACGTACTTGTTTTCTGTAAAATAATTTGTCAGAAATATTATCTTTACGTCACAACAGGACAGCAATGAGATCGGTAATAGTAGCATACAAAATAATCAACTTTGTACATTTACAAAATTGACAGCTCTGTAAATCCAGAACGAAACTTCCAGAATTATCGACGTCTGTTGAGGATGAACGCGTTGTAAGGAAATCTGCAGCAAGATGTTAACAATATCCTCGCCGTTTGATGCTGGATATGATAAAATACAGTATCAGAGAAGTAATACTTCTTAAACATGAAGACTGTAGGAAAAAAGTGATTGTAAGCTACGTGGGCGACGTTCAGGAATCATTAGAGTGCAGATGCTTTCATGAGTCATCGAGTTGGAAGGACCCTTTTGCTTGCCCATTTCGAATCTGAGACGGAGCAATGTACAGTCGGATTGATGTCTTGCATTGTTTTCCTCACCCTGCCCAGAAATATTACCATGGAACCTCCTTTCAAATCCTTTCGTCTTTGAAATTTGTGATAATTTCCCAAGTCATTCGAAGTTATGTATCGTCTACAGTTGAAACGGAGTCTTTGAAGAGCTTCAAAGCAGATCAGTTATATTCGCCATTTTTGTCGCATTCACTGGTGAACCGCCACTATTCCTGCAAGTTCCATTGCAGTCATTCTTAAAATTTATACGAAGTATGTTAATAGCCAACTCCACACGTGCAAACTTGAAGTTTGCTTGACTTTCCACATTCAATTAACGCATTCTGGAGAAATGCTGATTGCTTTCCTTTAAGTTTGGTAATTTATCTTTGTCTCTTCACTTTCGGCGTCTCTACCATATACATCCTTCCTGTTCCTATGCGTTTATTGGCTCCGTTGCTTGTCCCTTTGGGCTGCAGCGTGAGGAGAGACGCCGCCAAAGTTTCCAAAGAGCTCAAGTATCTAATTACCTAAAGAGCTGTATTCGCGTGTTTCTGCTTATTTATCCAAAGGACCATCGCGAATAATATTGTATTTTAACGCAGTAGGCAAGGCAAAATCTACGTGATGGACAAATGGTTACGTCCTTCAAGGGACCCGATGTCTCTCTGAATTTTTAACATGAATACTCTAATGAATTTGGCCTTTAAGTGCAGATGTACAATATTGTGCTCGTTTTCATCAACAGATTTTTTTGTTTGTTTCCAGATGCTGATTTCTCTGTCATTCTGAAGTATCCTTATTGTAGTGGGGGCGCGTTTGAAGAAGACTTATCGACCTACAGGCCACCAAACGTAAGTGCACACATTTTATGAGAATACTTATACCAGATCGTGAATGTGAGTTATTATCTTTGGTTCTGGATTGAATTAGTCTGTGAGTTTATGCTGTGAGAGAGGACACTCAGACTATCTTTTTTCGTGCCTTACCTGTGGTTTTCTTTTCCGTGATATGAAAATTGCGCTAACGGAGCCGATTGGGGGTGGGGGTGGGGGGATTATATTATTCAGTGTTCTGTCTGACGACAGGTCCATTGCTCTGCCCAAAAAGAGCTCTCCAGTTTTCCCTATTCTCAGCTTCTCGTTTTAATTCCTGGAACTTCATCTTCTTTCCTTGTTTAAGATCGTCAGTTAGCTGTATCAGTCTTCTTCCCAGTCCTCTCTTTCCTTCAACCTGGCCTTCGATGATATCACTCAGTAATCCATTCCTTCTCATAATATGTCCCAGCCAGTTAGCTTTCCTTCGTGTAATCGCCTGCAGAATGTTTCTTTGCTCGTTGACTCTCCTCAATACTTCTTCGTTGGTCACTCGATCCGTCCACCTGATCTTCTCTATTCTTCTCCAACACCACATTTCAAAACTCTCCAGGTATTTCTGTTCCTTCTTCCTAAGTGTCCAAGTCTCTGCTCCATACGTAACACTTCACTAGGTGTAAACAGTATGAACTTTCTCTAATATTGACCTAGTTAGTTATTGTTATCTTCTGTGGTTTTTTCAATTATTCTCGGGCTACCAGCTGTGACAGGGCGTAGAATTGAGGAAACGTTTAACCACCTGACACGGCTGGTAGCCCGAGAATAATTCATTATACTTAGTTGCCGTGAAAGATCGTACATCTTTTGTGCTGTGATGATGTGATATTTTATTACTTGTTGCGTGTTATTACCTCTATTCATCCTTCGATAGAAAAGATAAAAAGAGGAATTTCAAATAAGAGTATATTGATAGAGATCCTGCAGCGATGGAGTAAACATATTTCCCAGTTGTGTTCTTTGGTTCGCAGAAAGTTTAAAATAAGCTGTACTATGGCCACCGTTCTCTCCGTTCGCTATAACTCGAGAATCGCTGAACAGATGCTCATAAAATTTTATATTGGGAAGTTATACTAAAATTTGTCGACATACCCCAAATTTAGTAGTATGACAACGATAACATATACTTTACACGAAGATCTATGAGCGTTTCTGTGCGTATCTAGAACGGAATTCACTGAATATTTAAAGGGGCGAAAATATATGTTAGGAAAGTTGTACACAAGAATGAAACACAATTATGTTAATACAATTTATTAGAAAGTCTTGTGGTTCTTAGAAAATAACTCGGAAACTATTGAACTGGTTTGGAAATGTTATATTCGTGTTTCTTGATAATGCAGTTCGCTTATTTAAGCTGTTTATACCTTTAAGAGAGCATCAGAAGTTATCTTTGACAAAATCAAAATCTGGAGGCTATAACAGACCGAGGGAACGAGAATGTTGCACTCTGCAGAGACCACATTTTTTCTAGTTTAGTTTATTGTTCTTGATGTTCATTTATTGAAGATACATAATAATATATTCAAATGTAATCGTATTGAAGATATCACATTGCTGTCAAAGATTTTTTCTTTCATCTTTTATGAACATATTTGTCGTGTGCATAAACGTTTCAAGTAAAACTTCTAAAGTTACAGCATATGCGAAATTTAATCGAAATCAGTAGAATCTGCGATGAAATATGCGAAATTATTGAATGAAGGTAGAAAGAAGGCATCGAGAATGGATGGAAATAGGACAAATTGTAACTTTCAATAGTCTAATTCAAGACCATCTGTAGTTATGTGAACATGAATTTTCCTTTTGATTAGAGTTTCCAAATTTGGAGTCATGGCGCCCAAGGGGCCTAGAAGCTTCATTCTGGAGGGAGGACAATGATCTGGTTATAATACATGTAAATTAATGAGAAAAACAGCCTCATTGAAATATAGTCGTCTAATTTAATAGAATCACTATTTCATAAATATTTTTAACTTTCTTTGGTAATTATTTTTTGACATTGCTAAATCACATTTCTAAAGTAATTTTGTAGGCCAGGGGCTTCAAACTATTTATTTACATCTAGAGATAGCCTCAGAGGAACATGCTGCATTCATCTTTAGGGCAGAAGTTTAAAATTTCGTCACCGTGAAAAATTCAGATCCTAATAAGTTTTGAAGAATACATTTTTTGGCGTGCCCTAAATGCCAGGTGTTCTTTAAGCGACCCAACGGATGATGACGTCAGCAAGGCAACCAAAGGAATAACAAGATTTAACATTTTTGAAGAAGGTAGCAGTGTTGTCCAAGGTTATTTTCAAGACAATATGATTTAAGGTTATTATAACGATGCGATCAGAAGTTATTGTTTGAACAGTGTGATGGATGATGTAGTAGACAGACTAGGACCGGCCCATAACACGTTCTTCAACACCTAAAATTAATCGTTTTGTTCACACACATAAGCTGCTGTATTGCATATTTCACAACCATGTCCGTCTATTGTTTATATCAGTATTCTTATGCAAGTACCCAATCCGTCACATTTTGAAGCATTCCGTATGTGTCATAAAGTTTGTGCAATGTGTAGTGAGGGCATGGCTTTCTGAAAACAAGAAGCTTTTTACTTTTTTCAATTTGTACGCAGGTACAAGGCAGTGTATTCCATCCTTCATAACATCCAATTACACGTCTAAATTGCACGTTTAAAAGACGTGACCATTTTATGAGTTACTCATTCTTTGTACGAAGTGTAGTAAATTAATTTCACTTCCAAATACACATTCCCAAAGCAGTATTTCTAAAAAGAACCGAGTTCCTTTTACCAGCATTTTGAAGTTTTATTATACATCGGCATTCTTGTCTTCAAGTATTCGCAGCTGGAGTTTAATATAAAACTTAGGCTTTCGGTGGATGTTGAGCTATATCCAGCGTTTCGGCAAACATTGCAGTTGTCTTATTTAGAGTGAATGTATGTAGTTTGGTGTTTTGGGGCCCTTTTGTAGGGAAGGCAGTAGGCCGCCTACTGTATGGTCAAGAAATGTTTTATCATGCATGCAACCAGAAAATTTTACAATAACCCACCACTCGAACCTACCCTGAGGTTTTTTTTATTTTTAGTGTTCTGTCTGACGACAGGTCCATATGAACAGGATCCTTCCATCCTTTTCTCGGACTGGGACCTGTTCATATACGTTCTTGGCACATGATCCAGAAGTGGTTTGCCATTGCCTTCTTCTGTGTGTGAATGGAGTAATTGTTGGGATGCCCGGAAGAAAACTCCGTGTTTCCTAGACCACGGCCTTGCCCAACACAAGTTATAAATTCGGGCACCGCCGGGAATCGAACCCGAGACCCCAGGATTACAAGGCTAGCGTTCTAACCGCTAGACCCTGTTTTATTAATATCAAACGTCCACTCAGATTACCCCATTAAACTTTGTGTGTGTTTTCTATGTGCCTTGTCCATTTCATTTTCCCTGATTTTATTACTCTGGAAGTTTTTGGCGAAGAATTCTATAAATTATAAAGTTTCTTACAGTGTAGTTTTTTACTTCATCAATTTTAGTTTCAAAAACCCTCTTGTTCTCAAATACCTTTACTATAGCTGTGTTTTCTCCGAAGAAAAAGAGAAAGAAAGTGAAAGTTTTGAACCCATATAAAATAACATAAACCCATACAAAACAAGAGGGAAGTTATAGTTCTGTATATTCCAGAGTTTTGTTACAACTTTAAGACGAGAGGAGAGAATGCAGTAAGCTGAGTGCTAAGATGCATTAACCGAATTTGATCTGCGTTTAAGCTTTTAGTTGCTATAATTTTAATTTTCGGGTCTTTCGTTTACGAACATTTGTAAATTTTGCCCTGTAAAAGATATTATTTAGCTACCTTTGTAGATGGTTTTGTTCTGTTTAATGTTATAAAATGCACCATTCACTTACACAACTTTTGTGTTAAGAATGTTAATTAATGCAATTAAAATTACACGAAGTTCATACTCGAAGTTTCAGTGTTTAGATAACAAACTATTAAATTTAAAATGTAGAACTATCGATATAATGGCGATAATTTGCACTTAAATTGGGAATAAACCAACTAAGAAAGCATCTGCATTTAAAATAAGCGAGGCAACCGACATCTTCCAAATTAACATATAGTTGTAATCAGGATCAACTCTCGAGCACGTCACACGTTAGGAAAGATGTTGCGCATATGCAGAACGTAACTGGTCTCTCTTGACTGTTTTCTCATTGACAGTATGCCCCTCCATTGATCTTGAGATAATACCATCGCAGGTACATGTAGGATAGAAAACTGTCATTTCATTATCAACTAAACTTTTTTCAAGAATTAAGTAATAAGTAGATCGGGAACGTCTGCAGTTGTGTGTGATTCAGCTAGTTTAAACGTGCTGCTAGACAGAACTCGATGCAAAGTTAGATGAGCGTTGTAGGTTTTTACGGGAACAAACACGGAAAATTAACGTAGCACATAAAAATGTGCTTTAAGTAGAATATATTTAATAATTTTTGTAACAGCTTCTGTGTACCCGGTTGGCGAGCTTTGGCTGACATTCGGAGTTCTATGCTTTTTTTTTTGTATGGAACAAAATTGAAAGACGAGACATTGAAAGATGAATGGTACAGAAGAGAAGAGTAGAGGTTTTTGCGCCGCTGAACTCGGAAATACATTTTGTGCATTTCAGAACAGCGTAAGTTATGGTCGAGAATAGTTTCGGAATCTGAGGTTTTCAAGGCGGCGATGTTTTTCTGCATTGTGACGTCCTGTGGTAACAACATACAAGTTCACAATCCACAAGAACAACATCGACTCTTTCTTCCTAAGTTCCGTATTTTGAGACAAATTCTGAAAGACATTTTCCAGTGATTTTATTCCAACTTCAAGATTCGTTGAAGTAGAGAGATTTTGAAAAGGAAAGGTCTTTGTTTAAAAGAAACTCAATTTTTAAGAACGTAATTTTACAAATTTAGTCTGGTTAACG